CATTGATGGAAGAAGGCAATGGGAATGCCTCTCAAGAAGACTTTTTATGGGAAATTGCTCCCTATTTAGGTGTTAGATACATAAAGAAGACCTGAAAAACTCCACGTGACCAGCCTGTTGGTCAGATCCAAACTCACTACCAGCATTCAGCTACTAGTGGACCCATGTGTTTGGCCCTTTGGCACCTGTTTGAATAATCACTTGATGATAGGCCACAGGTTGCAGAACTTTAAAGATAAATATCTTTAAAGTTCTGCAACCTGTACCAATACGTGCCAAAGTTTTAGACTTCAAATAAGAATATTTAAATTAATTAAATGAATATGCTTTAATTAGAATAAATGTAAAAATGGTGATTGAGAAAAGATGATCAGGNAAAGCCAGCCATTTTTTTTACATGAGAACGGATTAATCATTTTTACATTACTTCTTATGGAAAAGGTTGGTTTGGTATACGTCCTATTCGGTATAAGTCCAAACACCAGGAACGGATTAAGGTCGTATACCGAGGTTCCACTGTACTTTATTTATATTTTATCAATAAAATTTGATTATACAAATATGTCAGATTAAATATAAATATAGTTAGTGTCATATATTTATATACCTAATGTTTTTTTGAATTTGGGAATTCAGAATATTCAGATGGCATTATTTTTATTTTTTTATTGCTAGAAGAATTGCTGAAGATGAACAATAACTTTGAGATCATTTCAATTTGAGTTTCATCAATAAGAAATGTTCCATTAAAGTTGAATGTTCATAATATTTTTGAGATTTGAATTTTTGTAAAAATTTTTCTTTATATGCTCTAATATTTGCAATTCTGATTATTCGAGAATAACTTGTATTGAATATTTATATGTATAATAATAAGATGAGATAAACTTTATCGTAATGGTTATTATGAAATATTTTATTTTCAAAATATTTGATGATAACTCAAATCTAATTCATAGGATTTCATACGTCCAATAGTCGATAAAATCAGAGCTCCCACAAGAAAATTGGAGAAAGCCATTCATAGGATTTCAGTATTTGACTATGTTTAAATACAGTTTTGAAGTTTATTTGTAAAAATTATAATTTTTAAACTTGTAAAATATGTTGGTCATATAATAAAAGATTAAACTTCATTTAAAATAACAGAGTTACATAAGTTGAAGATCATGACACAACCTTCTTTCTTTAGGCTATTAGAAGAGTGATATTGTTAACTTGCCAGATATGTATGTTTACATAACAGTAAGGCAACAATATCATTCTTCTAATAGCCTAAAAAGGAAGGTCAGAAGAGGTTTATGCTTTGTTTGTATTACAATATAACTGTTTTGTCAGACTATTATTTAAAGTTTTAATTGTAAATTTTATTTTGTATTCTATGGCATTAAGAATTTGGAAAGCTTTTATGATTAAATAAATATTAAACCAGAAGTACATTTGAATCTATAGAGCATTAATTGTATAGAAAAACAAAATATTTTACATTTTTTAAGATATACAAATGCAGTATATACCATAGTACAAATATAAACATCTTAAACCCAATATTTATATATTAAAGCCTGATTGCCAGACTATATCAGGATATATTACTACTACTATTATTAATTAAATGCTAAGTAATTTGTCATTTAATTAATAATAATAGTAGTAATATACCTAATATAATTTGGCAATCATTTGGCTTTAATATACCATAGCATGATCTATTCTGATTATAGGATTTAACTATTGGATTATTATTAAAAGCATTATTATAGGTCATTAATAATAATTAATTTATTAGTTTAGGTTTTTTAAAAATTTTGTAAAATTTTTAAGTGAAATGAATTGGAAATAAAACAAATTTGCTTCAATGTGACAAAAATTGTTCATTAATGTCCAGCTGATAACAAGTCTTTTTTATCATATTGCTTTTTTTTAATTGGTCATACATTATTTTAAAATGCGATGATTAAAATTATTTTGTAGGACTTTCCAGTGAAACTTGTCAATAGTAAAAAATATTCTGTTAATATTAGGTCATATTTCTTCAAATGTATTTGACTCCATCTTGATTAAAGTAAGGGTCAAAATATCCACTTATATTTATAGAAGTAAAAAAAAACTTTACTACCGGATACTTTACATAAAGATTACATATTTGCATATCTGCCATCTTGAATTAAGTGAGAATTTTCCATTTTTGTTGAGATATAAATTTTCACTGCTGTTCATCTGTCTTTCCTTAATCTCGAGAATGAAGTTAGATAAATGAAAGATGAGATCAACTATGGAATCCATAAGGGCAGGAGGCTCTGATTAACTATATATGAACTTCTGATGCAAACCACAAGTCATGTTATTTCAGTTAAAAAATTTTCCCTTGAAAGGTATTAGATAGATGACTGACATGACTCTCTTGTTAAAGGAGAAGTATGATGCACAGATGCAAGCCATTACTAATAATTTGAGGTGGAGAGCTTATATTTTAAATTAAATAAAGGAAAAATATGATTAAAATTGCAGCCTGGCATTGTGATGATGTCACAATAAAATAGTTGCTTATTATATATAAATCTTTCAATGCTCACAATTATCATGCTAGTTTTTATTCTTTCCAATTTTTATTTAAAAAAAATAGTTTTTTATTTGAAAAATTTTTCCATGTATTAATTGAAACTTATTAGTCTATCACTATATGTATAAGAAAAATTTTAATGAAATGCTAATATTAAGTGCATTTGTAATAGTGAAAATATTGATTCAATACATTTGACTGATGATGCTCAATTTATCATGATTGCAATCATCAGTCAGGATTCTGGTGAGCAGTTTTTCCCTGGAAAAAAATTTTTGGTGGCCCACCTGCAATGTTAGCTGGCTACTGTTTAAATATCCTTACAAATTCTCAACTGAGTCTGAATACTCGAGCTTAGACTTGTTTAGCCTTTCACTTTTACTGAAACTTAATATGTATTCTAAAACTTGATAAGTTCAAGTCCAAAGTATGTATATTTCAACAGCATTAAATAGAAATTGTTTGTCATCAATCATCAAAGCATTATTAGTAAAGATTAGTAAAACAAAAAGTAATTAGTGGAGATAACCTGCTACTTGCGTTTTATCTGTGCTGATTTGTAAAGATAAAATACAATTAGCTTAGTTTTTATGTGAGTCACACTGTTTATATTTATCTCAGTTTATTGTGTATTAAGTATTGTTAAGTATTAGTTTTTCAAATTCTATCAATATGTTCTGGACTGTGTATAACATTTTTTTTCTAATATCAATAAATTCAGCATGTTTTTTATGATAAATCATCATCAATAAAATTTATGTGATTTATATGTAGCCTTCATTGATACGGAATGATTCAAATTTATAATATTTATACAAATAAATGTACAGTAAAACTTCTTTAACTCAAATGTCTGTAACTCAAATATTTAACTCAAAGAAAACAAAGCACTCCATAGGTCTCAATGGAATAGCATCTTACTGGATTTAATGTCTCCAACTTGAATTTCTTAACTCAAATTTTCTTGAAGTTGAACTTTTTCAGTTCTCCTACACTGATTTATGTTACTTGGATTTCCATGAAGTTTTCAGACAGTTAGTGTTATCTACTCTCCAATACCAATTTTCAGACAATGTTTATGTAACTGAAAAACTGTCAATTTCATTAGTTATATTGAACATTTTGTGAAAGGCATGCATGGGTGTTTAAAAAAATAATTATCGAAGATTTTTTATATAATACAAGAGAGGTAAAAATCAAATCTATTCAGAATTGATGTTTTTTACTCTATTGTTCTCTAATTTGAATCTTCTGTAACTCAAAGTTTTTCCTGTCCCTTGGAGCTTTGAATTAGAGAAGTTTTACTGTAGTTAGTGACATTAAGAATTTGTCTGGGATCCAGGGAGTTAACAGGGCTTATTTTCCACCTTTTTTGAACAAATAAAATATGCAAAATGTTTTTTTATTAATAAAAAGCAGTTTTAAAAATTTTATTTGCTGTTAGTAAAATAACATTAATTTTGTACAAATAAGGACCACTATGGTCCTTAATTAAATTTTCTCCAGGCCCAGGGAAAAATCCACAGCTTCCCTTCCCTCTTAATGTTGCCAGATTTATGAAAAATTATTTAATTATTTTCTGAATCAGTATGCAATTTCTTTGTATGGTTTGGACTATTTTCACCTTTCTGTCCTACATAGACAAATTAACTTAAAAATTCTGCTGTGCAACTTGTAATGTCGGTATTGTAGAACTGTGGAGCATCACACAATATCGCTTTGTTGCGTATGGTCATGCTACAACCTTATAACTTGTAAACAAAGTCATGGTCCCCATTTTTTATTACATTTTTTGATTCTTCATCACAATTAATGGAAAATGGCAATGTTTAATCAAAATTTCATCGAACAAATTTTAAGAATGAACACAATTCTGTAAGTCACATAGAAGAGACTTCACTAATGCTCCCCCTCAATTATGACTACTTTTGAGTTTAAATTTTATTATTGCTTTACAGGTTTATGTAAATTAGCTTCTTACTGGTTAAATTCCATTCCTGCCACATGCCATTGTAGTAAAAGTTTAGTTTGGCTCACTCAACAAGTCTGTCTCAAAATAATATTACAGTGGCAAATTTTTTATGTTATTACTGCTTTAGTATTGACTCCATTACTTTTGAATTATAATCAGATTACTTTTAAGGAGTTTTACTATCAATATAAAGTTCATTTAATAAGGTTTTATCTGAGTGAAGCTTGTTTGTTTTTTTTTTTGTATGTAGGAAATAGAGATTGATTAGTTTGAGTTATTTAGTGCCAATTTTATATAGAACAAATATTGTATCAGATTTTCTTTCTAACATGACAAATTTAATGTGATATTTTTAGAGAATTAAATTGTCAACAAAAACTTTAACAGTTTCAGGTTATTTTTTTGATTAAAAATAAGTAAATAAAAGAAATTTTTGAATAATTTAAATCTTTAAATTTTTTTCAGAAATAAAGCCATTGCAGATTATCTCTCTTCAAGTGGATACATGGGGGCATTGGAAGCATTCAAAAAAGAATCAGAAATAGTATGTTATATTTTAAATTTATTAATAATACTTAATTTAGAAAAATACGACAGAATGTCTAAAAACAATGATTATATTTTCATTTCTAAATTTAGAATTTCTCCAGCACTATTAAAAGAAAAATTTACTTACGTTTTCATCTATATGAAATAGACATCATCAGGTACAAACATGATATAGAACAAAATTTTTAGTTTTATATCGTTTGTACCTGATGATGTCTATTTCATATAGATGAAAACGTTAATAAATTTTTCTTTTTGTGAGATCTTGGATACTCCCCCTTTAATTAATGGAAAGTTTAAATCAAATCAATAACTTTTAGAAATAATATTTCTGATGGAAAAAGTTTAATTTCAAAAACGAAGGAAACTGGTAAAACTCACTTCCTTTTCAACAGAAGTACCGCATCCTTTCGTTTTTCCCTTATCTTCCAAATTTTGAGTCACACAACAAACAGTTCCCCTCTCTGTAATTCTTCACTCATCCTACTCACATGGGAAAAATACGATGTTCCAATTGGAGAAAGTCTTCGAAAAAAGGATTCTTTGGTATTGTTCAGGGAGTACGCCACAACTTCTACGAGAGGAAAGACGTATTCCCTGCCATCTCCTCTATGCCAATGCCCAAAACTTAGAAAAGTTTAATATACAAGTTCCTGGAGTAAGAAACTATTTGATAATATGCCTCCTTCAAGTTACTAAGAAAAGGAAGGAAAAACCGAACAAGAACCAGATTAAGTAAAGAACATTATCATCGATCCGAATATAAAGAGAGGACAGCGAAACCTAAAGTTTGTGAGGTGGTATGATTTTAAAACGAAGTGTAATCTCTCTCTCCGCAAAATACAGTAGAGCGTCGGTTATCCGAAAGAATTCCAGTCGGCAAATTTAAATTTTTGCTAGTGCTATGGCACTGCAATCTTTGGCTATATCTTGGGCTACTCCAATATTTTTTTGTTGATGTGTGTGTTTTAGTTGGCAGCACTGGCACTTTTGTGTGGTGTTTTTCTGAGCACTTGTGTCATGCTGAATCGAACGTTTTTGATACTAGATTAACTCCTAAAGTATAATTTTTTTTTGTTTTTATATTTTTCAATATATTTATTTTGTTTGTAAAAAATAAAGAAATAATTTTTAATGATACAATAGGCCACGATTATTATTTTAAAAAGTTTACGTTAGGCTTAACATCGAAGAAAATTCAACGCAAAATATAATTTCTAAAAGTTATTGATTTGATTTAAACTTTCCATTAATTAAAGGGGGGTATCTAAGATCGCACATTTTAATAGTGCTGGTGTTGCATTTGTGTGTGGTGTATTTATACAAACCCAGTTTTGTAGATATATAGAATTTCTCATGAACGAAAATAGATTTATAGTTAGTTCTGCATAAAAAATTTATGGAATGAAAAAATAGTTAAATTAGAAATTGATGCCAAGTTATACAGAATAATTAAATACTGTACTTTGCTCTTTTATAATGTTAAGTGAAATTATTTCTATGAAAATTTATCACAGCCCAAGACATATTGATTCATAAATAAGATCTGAGGACAAAGTATGGAGAAATGATCATTTGATGAAATATTGTGAAATTGTATGTGCAGTAAGCTATAACTTCTATATATTATTGCAAAATGCCTTTCTCACTTTTTCTAGAAAATTTTTTAAAATTAAATTAAACAAACTAATGTTTTCAGCTATCTTAAATAGCCCTCTTCAGATTTGGCATAATTCTACAATATATAAGATGTTCTAACTGACGTCCCAAATTATGCTAAACCTGAAGGCAGCTACTTAAGATAGCTGAAAACATTAGTTTGTTTAATTTAATTTAAAAAATTTGCTAGAGAAAGTGAGAAAGATGTTTTACAATAATAGTATTGTGAAATTTTATAATCATTCACAAGATGTATTCAGTGTAAGGCTGAAAAGAACTGTCTTTTTCTTACATCATGATAATGCTAGAATCACACTATTGTAGCAAAAAATATACTTAAGAATCTGAAGTTAGATTATCCTAAATTAAAGATGTTGAAAGGTCAGTGATTTTTATTGAATGCTGAAATTTAAGTTGCTTTTTGTGGATGATCAAGGGAAACTATAAAGTTTTTTCATGCACAGAATGAAAAAATGGATTGAATGTTTGGAAAAATGTATCACTTTAAAATAGTGATTGTTAAAAAATGAATATATAATGTTGAAATAGGTGTTTTTATTACTTTTTAAAACTGGTTACATTATTCTTCCATTTTTCGAATTAATTGTATAAAAATGGAGACAAATATCAATCAACCTCCATACTTACTCTTCGGTTATACTTATTCTTCAGTTAATTATTTATCTTGAATTAAATATTAATACTTGGTATGTAATAGAATTATAAAAGAGTACTTGTATCTCATAATTGATGAGTATATTATTGTCTGTTTATTTTTCAAATATCCATTCTTTAAACAATGTGCACAATTTAATCACTATAAACATTACCAAAATGTTTGTCAGATATACTTAGTTCACTATTTATTTGACTTATTTAAACCTAATTATTTTTTAGACTAATCATCCAAAACAATATTTTAAAAAATCAAGCCAGATGTTTTGTAACTTGGTGACTTCATGCATGCATGCATGAAGTTGATTTAATCATTAGAATAGCTAATGTATTGTGAGGAATGATAAAATGATTTTTGGTTAGAATTGATGCTTTACTTTTGGGGTGACATAGCAATACAGGTATACCTCAACTTACGTCGTTTTGAGTTACGTCGTTCCCGATTATACGTCGTTTGTCAAAAAAGTATATGGAAAAATAAAAATAATCAAGTTTAAGTCATTTTATTCGACTTTACATCTGTCCGCCACAGATATTGAAGTCATAATATCACTAGAAAAATGTTTAAAGCACATAAAATCATATTAAAATACATACATTTACAAGTATGTACTGTATTTACAGTACATGCATTCGTAAATTTAGATTACTTTTTTCTGTACTATATTAAAAACTAAAATTTACTTGTTTGTAAGCTTAAAATAGATCCTTATTAACCATACATTATTAAAAATGCATTAATAAATAAAATACAGAACCAAAATTGGTAATTTATGGTTTAGCCTAGTGCAAGTAGATTTGGAGACAAGTAAATTCGACTTACGTCGTTTTTTGACTTAAGTCGTTCTCCTGGAACCAATTACTGATGTAAGGCGAGGTATACCTGTATTTAATTTGGTCTACCAGTGCCCAAGTGGATAAAACTACTAAACACTGGTAGTTGGTCCTGGGTTACATCTGACCAATAACATAAAGTGTTCCGGTTTTTCTGTATTAACGCTTAATTAGGGATCACTTTTCCATAGATAGTAGTGACTGTCTATGCTTTCAAGTTTGTTTTGAGTTTTATAATAGTATAGTAGGTATGGATAATGAATTCATTCATGTATTGAGTCCATTTCATCTGTTGGCTTGGTTTTCAGGCCTTGAAGGTCAGTGACTGGATTGCCATTGAAGCACTATGGTTGGGTTGGTGTGTGTTGTCTGTTCTGTGTGTGAAGTGGCAGAATGTGTTTGTGATGCAGTAGTCAAACTTGGGCCAGTGCTGTGTTTATCCTAGTGGTCGGGGGGGCAGTGGCAGATTTTTTGAACAAGAGCATTTGCTTGTTAACTCAGGGCAATATATCCATCATACTGTGATTATGTAACAATCTTTTATATATATATATATATATATCTTTTTTGGAGTGGGTATGCTTAAACTAGGTGTTTATAAATCAGCTGCCCCTGACATGGAGAACAGACACAGTTCACAACTGCAAATTCTGGGTCAGATGCTTCTTATAGATCACTCTGTGTAATTTCTCTCTAAAGACTTTACTGTCATGGCTGACCCTGCTGGAAGCTTATGTTTCCATTGGCTTTGCTCTATGGTTTACTGGGACTACTAAGCTCTCTCATCTCAATAAGATGGAGGCTAGTAAGAGAGTTGTTATTACTATTATTATTATTTATTTATTTATTATTATACAGTATTTAGTGGGTTATACTCAGTTGATACCAGTGGCTGTGTACTATGCCAGATCAGAGTCAAGGCATAGCAACCAAAAACAAAAATTAAATAAGCATGTCAGTGTCTGTATTCAGGAATTTCCTAACAAACATGGCCTTCTGTAGTGTGATGNTACAATTTAAATACCAATGATTAATTACATTGTGATAATGGAACCAATTAATAAACAAATAATTAAAGCAAAACACATTTTCACAGAAAAAACATTTTAGAAAAATACCATTGTAACAATCCAGTTTGCATTTTTCAGTGATCAAATTGAAGCAAAATTCAAGTGGCCTTTTGTATAGCCCAGAACACTCAGAAATGTAAAACAAGTATCTAATCAAGTAGCTATGTAAAACAAGTGTCTAATCATATTCTCATATCGTGAAGCACAAAACTGATGAAAACAAATGTAACTATGAGGGTTGTTCAAATGAAACACGACCAATAATTTTATTTAGTAGGTATAGTACATTCAAATTTTTTTTATTATTTCTTTTATAATTACATCAACAATGAAATGTAATAGGAAAACAACAGTTTGATGTTTTAGTTGAAGCCTGCTAAATTGCCTATCAGTAAGTGTCATACTTTCAATAACTGCTCTGGAAGTGTGGAGTAGACAAGAATACAGTGGGTCAGGTTATATGGCAATTTTTATAAACATTCTAGAAATATTCTATGGAGTAAATGCCATTGTGTATTATAGACCAATTTGGGTTATCTGTATGAAATTATAGCAATTAATTTTTAACTTCTACAAACACAAAAATAAACTTTTCAAAAATAAAATTTGATCAAACATTTTTTTAAATATAAATTTGATTATGAAGCTGACCTCCCATCAACAGTAGCAGAATGATCTGATGCTCTACTTTTGATGTGATACAGAAATATATGTCTATTATATTTTTGCTTAATTTTTTTATGAAACGAAATAGATTTATTGATGATTTTATAATTTTCTGAACTGAGTAGATTTATACTAACTGATAGGAACCTTTATTATTTCTTCTGTGTTTTGAGAAACAGGAGAATTTTATTTCTGATAGCTACTTCACAGAACTACAGAAATATATATATATTAGATTAACTGTTTACAAATACAGTAAGACTCAGCTTAACATGGGGGATGTGTTCCTAGACAACAAAGTGCTAAGCAAAACAGTGTTAAACAATGTAATTTTAACCTAGAGTAAATAGGGATAGGGGAACACGTGACCAAAAATAAACAAATTTTACTTTAATTTTAAGTTATTTTTGTATTAATTTGTATAATAATATATGTTAAATAACACACAAACATATGCACACAGAAATGTAAAGTTCATTTTTTGTGATGACGGTCCTGACTTTTCTGAAATTCTTGTTTGTGACTGAAGGGTCAGCACATCTTCGATGCCCTGTCAGGATGACACCACCACGTCTCGGTTGACACAGAAACCATGCTAACTAGGTCATGCAAGCAGATTCTGGATGGAGGGAGTGAGAGACAGCGCACCGGAAATAATTTCTTCAGGGACTAGATTCATATAACAACCATTTAATGGGTAACACTAGGAAATACATATCTTACAATATGTCGATAGATTCGATAGTAAGGTTTAAATGACCATTCTTGAGAGAGAGAGAGCTTACAATAGTTTGCATGGCGATAAATACCTGGAATTTGGTTGATTCTTGAATAGCTGATAATTGATAATCAAGTTCTTGACTTAATCCAAAGTTCTGGTGACGACATTAATTCAAGTTTCTTTGGCACTTAATAAATCCTCTTACAATTAATCCAAGTAGGAGGCACATAATAGGTTCTGTTGCAATTAATCCAAATAGGAGGCACGAAAAATGTCTGGGTGCGATCTGACGACTTCTATCCAGAGGAATGGCAGCGATTGTGTCGAAAATCTGTTTGTAGCTATATTCATTTGACAACTTTGCAATAATAGGTCAGAAGGTTATGTGAAAGCGTCTTTTCGCGACTGAGAACTTGCTGGGTGATTAACTCCCAGGTATAAATTTGATACTTACTCGATAAAATAGTATTGTTAACGATTTAGGTCAGGCTGTAGATTAATAAACACGGCTGAGTCTCACATGTTCTTTTGCAATAAAGTTGTGAAGTTTCATTTGTCACTGTTTTCTTTCCTTAAGGAAATGTCAGTAGCAGAAGATCGCATCCAAAATGCTTCGTTTTGCTTTTGCACTCCTTTCAAAATCTGGATCATTTGCTACAATTTGATCAACGATTTCGGTTATCTTACCAAACTTTTACTAAGGAAATCTGTAGAGAAATTTTTTGGGTTCTTCGTTTCCAGAACATCTATTTTTCCAGTTCTACATGAATTCCATGTTCAGCCAGTTCTTGAAGGTTGTTGTTAGTAAGGCTCTCACCAGAAATTTGCTATAACTCCTCAATATCCTGCTCATATATATCTCCTAGTCTTGCTATATTGTTTAGGCTGAGTTTGGTCAACCTAACAATACAGCTATAGGCTCTTCTCGTTGAAAATTTTTGGATACCTTCAGCCATAACTTCTTCCACACTTTGTTCGTGCATTTATCAGTTAATCTTTGCCAAGCAAAATCAATATTGCTTATGGCATCCATGATGATATATTTTTTCCAAAATTGCACCAAACAAACATAGATTTAAAGAAAGTACACCTTTTTGCCATCTTTTGCTGATTGGTTTGTGTTCGCAAAAATTGTATTATATACAAATCAATGAAATGCCACAATAATTTAAATCAGCGTAAATTTTGAGCTTTCTTTTAGGCTTCGAGCAGACTGCATTGTATCGAATCAGTGTTAAGCAAGGTAGCATTAAACGGGGTCTTACTGTAATAATAATTTGGGGTAATAGTCTTTAATATATCAAATATGATTAAATATTTTTTTTAATGACTTGATTACAAATAAAATGTACAAATAATAATTTGCAATCATATACATTGGAGAAAATTTTTAATTGCTTTGGATGTATTGCTTTTTTTTTTAACCTATTAATAGTATTCATTCATTCTACTTTATTTGTTTTATTTGAAATAATCACTACTTCATCACTATTGGTGTTTTAGAGAAAAGTATGGTTAATTTTTTATTTTTTGATTGTTTAATCAAAAAAGGCAATCATTTGGTTATGATTGTTTAATCTTTGAACAGTCTTAAAGTTAGAATTGTAATTTGTCATTTTTAAAAATGTTTTCATATTATAAAAATATATGCTATGTAAAATAGTTTTAGTTATTGTAAAAATTTAGATAGAAATAAAAAAATTTGATTATTTTTTATGTCTTGATGATTGATTGTTTTTTAAATGTAGCCAGGGGAAATTGATAAAAAGTATACTGGATTATTAGAGAAAAAATGGACTTCAGTTATCAGGCTCCAAAAGAAAGTAATTATATCTTTAATTATCATTATATTATTAAAGAAATTTTAATATAATTTGATATTTTGTTAAGTATGTACAGTATATATAGATTTCATGTGTATAGGTTAAAAATAATTTAATATAAAATTATTTTTAACATATGTATTCAAAATATTGATTTTATTAATCCTTCTTAATTGTTATACATGTTGTTATTTGTTACAAAGTATAATATATATTTAGGTTATCTTGATTCATTTTCAACTTGTTTTGTTAAATGCTTAACTCAAAACATTCAGTATTATTGACTGATGATATTAAGCGTTTTATGTCAAGCATTTAATAAATATGTTTTTTTATTTTAATTACATTATTTTATTATATGACAGATAGTACATTAAAAACTAGAGTGATTTTTTTTCATACAAAAATATGTCAAACCTAATAAAACAATAAAATTTAAAATATAAACAATAAGAAACTTTAAACAAAAACAAATTGATAACAAGTGAAAAGTATTATAAGTATTTATTTATAAGCTATGAACATGGCGAAATTTAGTTTGAAACATTGTACTACTGGAATAATGTAAGCTTGCATTGGTTTATGGTGGCTTTTGCCATTACCAATTGTTTAGAATTGGTATCCCCTTTGCCATTTCAAAAGAATTTGAAGAAAATGTAGTAACCATTAACTCTTAAGTTCATTATTTTGATGATCTTCTAGCCATATGGAATGAGGAAAAGTTTTAAAAGATAAACCAAAATAATAATAGTGTAACTTTAGAAGTTGATCAAATAGAGAAAAAGAACTTGCATTATATTAACACCTTTATCTGCATACAAAGATTCCTTACAACTATACATAGAAAAAATTGACTGCTGTACCCTCATATATCCATTTTCAACCAGGAATCCCTTCAAATATAAAATTGCACATTGACATTCTCATATACAGGGCGATTCACTGGTGGCATTCAGTAGCTTTTTCTTAAAAATTGTTGTAGATAGGAAGATGGGACTAATGACCAAGTTTATAGAGAAGACTGGGGGACGATTTTGGTTACCATCGATGATCTTGAAAATCAGCAGTTTTTGATACAAAATTTTATTTTATTTTTTGCCTGTTCAACTGTTTCAATCATACAAGGAAATGACATGATCAGTCATAAATTTTGTTGCATGAAACCAGCTAACATGTAGCCAAAAAGTCCTGGAGTCTTTGATGTTTACCAAATTCCTGGTAAAATTATCCAGAAATTTCCATTTTTTAGCCTTGATAAATGAACTATATTCTCTATTCAATTTTAAAAATGAGACGAGATCAGCCTGGCTATCCGATCTTTGAAAATACAAAGGGCACAATTCCACTCTCTCTTAAGTTCAAAATAAGATTTGTCAAATCAGGGAGAACAATGGATGTTATTAACATCAACTCCTCTTAAAATGCCAAGGTTTCTTGCCAAGGAGCACAAATCAGCGAGAACTACATTATAAAAGTCATCTACTGATTCAGCAGCAAATTTCCTATTCTGAAAACATGACCTAACAGCATCAGCAAATGCTGTTAGGTCATGTCAAAGCTCATTACAAACAAAATGAATACTTAAAAAACTGGTCTTCCCATCCAAAAGGCATTCAGAACTATGAGACAAATATGAGGTCACAGAGAAGTGATCTGATAGTGGCAGGTTTTTAACTTTCAGAGACACTATTAAGTGATATATTCTTTGAGAAACAATTACAAAATCAATAATCGAACTACCAATACTCGAAAGAGTAGTCAATTCACCACGATAATATTCTCTGGTTCGCCCATTGAGAAGAATAAGGTTATGTTCAATTTACCACTGTAAAAACAGTCTGCCATTAGTGTCAATTTTTAGATCCTTTGATTTCCTTGCATCATAAATATGTGGTGGCACACTATTCAAAAAGTGTCAATTTCATAACTGTCATGTACTGTACAGTACAGTGGGTGATCGATTAACGAACATAATCCATTCCAAGACTTTGTTCGCTATCCGAATTGTTCATTAACCGATCACCCACTGTATATTGAAANTTATCGATTTACCATAGGTTTTAAAGGGAATTTAATTAATTCGTTCTGGAGACCCCCAAAATAATAAATATTTACTTTCTCACTACGTTTCTTTATATATAATAATAAAAATACATACATACACAGTCTTGCGTTTTTATTAGTCATGTTTTTCCGTTTGAAAGGGTTAAAGAATCTGCCTAATATCGATTGCTTTTCTCTCTTCTTCAGGATTTTTCGCAAGTAATTAATAGCATTGCAATTGTAGAAATCCCCAAGCCTCAACCTGGTTTGGATGTCATTCTAAGATCGTTGTTCTGACATCCTCACACTTCTTCAAAGGATCTTTAATAACAGATATCGGCATTAATCCTGTTTTTCAGAAGAAAACATATTTCGCTGAGTTTCTTGGTGTTCTTCATTCAAGAGTTCATGGCGTTCTTCTGTCGTCAGATCCGTTTCGGGTTCCATTATGAACTCTTCGACGTTCTATATTTCTCAGATGTGATTTTTTTACTCCTTTAGCTGTTTGAGTGTTCTTGATTATGCAGTATTTTTCTTTAAAAAATGAACTGCGGCCTACTGTAGACCTGTTCACACCATACTGCTCAGCAACATTAGGCATCTTCTGCCCACTCTTTACCTTTGCTATTATACTCTCACCTTACAAAAAAAACAGACGCAAAACTTAACGCGGCCTACCCGACAGTCTCGCAAATACATAAAAGAATTATTTTGTCATAAAAATAAAAGGCTGGAATTATAAGGGAGAGTTTTAAAGTTTGGAGGAATACTATCCGATCAGTATATACCGGCTTGAGCGTCGATGTCAACGTCTCCCGCACTCCGAAAAGTTTCGAATTGTTGACCGAAGACAAGGAAAGTCCAATCGGTATTCGTTATTTTACATAGCTTCTTCTTGTGTTTGCTCTGTGGGGTGTTCGTTATCCGATCATGTGTTCGTTGTCCGAACATAAAAATCTTTCGCGAAAGTGTTCGTTATCCGATTTGTTCGTTGTCTGATCTGTTCATTAACCGATCACCCACTGTATATTGAAATCCCCCAAAATGACTACTCCATCAAACATTGGAGATCAAGTTTCCAAAATATTAGAGAACAAGTCAAGACAAAAGTTTTGCTGTTTTTGAAATCTAGCATAAATAATCAGTATTAAGATGGATTGAGAAGCAAAAACATTTGAATGTGTTAGACTAACCACAAATATATCTGGATTAAAATCCAATAGCTTAAAATAACCTTTACATTCATTAAAGAAGAAGATACCACCACTAGGCCTAATCGGGCCCTTAGATTTTTCCACTGCTAGCACACAAAAGTTCCAATTGGCTGGCAATACTCTCCTAAATTTATCAGACAAAACCAATGAGGTCTCTATCTACTAAACCAATACCTAACAGATCTCGGCAGTTACACATAAAACTCATAATCATTGGACTTTTTGAACTAATTCCATTACAATTCCAGAAAGATAGGAATCTGATCAACAGTCCAACTCAGATCCAAGTTGTGTCCCGGAGGGACATCGTGTGCTATATAGATCTGTCGGATTGACTGACATGAGAAAAGTTTAAAATAAAAGGAGGAAACTCAATAAGACAGGATTCCTTAAAATCCTGTCTTATTGAGGTGTATAATGCTTATCATCTATAAATAAAACATCATCACATAAATAGACTTGTTTCCCTACAGAACGATAATCTTTTAAATAAGAAACCAATTTTGTGTGGTGTAAACTTGATCTGGCAGACAAATCTGGTGCCAAAGTAAATATTGCTCATCTATCTCAGTCAACTTGTTGAAATGACATTCTGAATTTGTGGCAATACCTGGAGTCAACCTTAAGTGCAGCTGTGGTGAAATTGACAATTATAAAAGACAACTCGCTGTTCCAGAATTTCTGAAGTAAAGAATTTCAGATTTACCAAGATGACAATTAAATTCAATAACACTCACAGTTTTTCCCGTATACAGGAGATATCGACTGTCTTGTTTAGAAAAGTCATCAATCTCCAATTCTTTGGACAGAAAATTAACCATATAATCAAAAATATCTAACTTGTATGAAACACTATGATTAAACATTAAATTATTTTTCCTGGAAGCATTAATATGTCTATCGTAGGCAAAAGCATGCAACTCATCAATGTTGTTAAACGAAAGTTGTTCTCATTGCTCTAGTTTTACCAATCATGATCGAATATTAGAACTTTACTCTCCAATGATTTTACTGAAGACAGAGTAGCCTGATAAAGCTGTTCCAGACCAGCAAGCTTGTCTTTTATAATTGTCGATTTTACCACAGCTGCACTTAAGGTTGACTCCAGGTATTGCCACAAGAAAGTTAAACCCTCTCCATCCACTTCCAATACATTTTCTTGTTTTTTAAAATAATGTTCAAGCTTCAGGCATTTAGCTCCCAGGTCACTTAGAGAACTGTGGTGTTTTGCTCCTTTCCTGCCATTCCAAACTTGAGACATATCACTAGGAGGAGTTGTTGGAAACATACTTGAGAATAATTCAGAACAAAATACTGCCTTAAGGATATTATATTACTTAATTCTAGTTGGCTTCACTTGACTAGTGTATTAAAAGTAAAAAATTTAGTATATTAGTAAAAAAAGTAAAATTACCAATAGCCAAGACAAGTTAACAGCACTCTCTATTTTTAATAATAATAATATTAAAATTTAATTATTAAAATAAAAATAATATAAAAATTTGTTTGCAGTTTATCTCTTTGTAAGAGTGTCATTATTGAAAACAAATTTGCAATCAATTTACAAAGNACACGTTTTTGAAAAAATAATCATGGCTTGTTAGGTGTATTAAATACTTGGCTTGGATGTCACACCAACAGTTAACTCAATCAAAACTTCAGACTATGAGGCGTTAAATAAAATTAAATGAAATATTTTAATCGTGCAAGCACTTTCAACGTAAATATAATTAATTTAATTATTGACATTTAAAATGTAAAATATCAATCTTAAATAATAAAATAATATCAATTAACCTGTTTAATATTCATAATAAATCTTTATCATTATTACAATTAAACAAATAATTAAATTTCTTAATGTATGTCTGAAAGCATGCTTATTCATAACCATGTGACTTTAAATGGTTTTTAACATAAATCTTCTGAAGTCATCCTCCAGTTAAAAAATTTTTAAATTTTAAGTAATTAACTTTATGGAAATAAATAATAGTTACATCAAAAAGTGTTTTTCTTTTTTGTTATCAATAACCTCTTACATAGATGAATATTTGAAAAAAATTCAGTTAAAATTTTTCTATCCCACCAATAGTAAAATACTGTAGTTGAGAATATGGAACAAATCTCTAAACATCTTTCTATGATCCATTTACATGGTTTTCAGTTATGCATGGTTTTTGTGGAATCAATTACTTGCATAAATAGAGGGATTACTGTATTTTATCATCATAAATTGATTGTAATTATAAATATTAACTAAATATAAAGGATTTCAACTTAAATTTTAATATTAGAAAAAAAAAAACTATTTTAGGTTATGGATCTAGAAGCAAAACTTGCTGAAGCAGAAAAAGAATTTATAGCTGGTGCTCCGACACGAGAAAAACGCTCTCCAGCTGAATGGATTCCTCGCCCTCCTGAACGATATTGTTTAACTGGCCATCGTGCTCCTGTAACAAAAGTTGTTTTTCATCCAGTTTTCAGTGTTATGGTATCATCTAGTGAAGATGCTACAATAAAAGTAAGTGACAAATTAGGAAATTGTTACATTTGAAATAAAATGTAAATTTTAATTATGGTAAAAGAAATTTTCTTAAATGTTTTGTAAAAATAATCACAGGTTTGGGATTATGAAACTGGTGATTATGAAAAGACATTGAAAGGCCATACTGATTCTGTACAAGACGTTGCATTTGATCACACAGGAAAATGGCTGAGTATGTTTTATATAATATACATACATACATTTAAATAATTTAATGTCTACTTACTTTAAATTTTTTTCTCTCCAAACTGTATGTGCAAGAAAAAGAAAAGTTGTAATTTTTTAAAATTAATAGATTATATTTAAATTCATGCAGATAATGATAAACTTCATAAAAACCATTTAAAATTTCTTTTTAATAGCAATAATATGTAATTTTTGGTATTTAAAAGAACAAAAATTATTAATTAAAATGTTTTTGCTTATTGATCTTAATTATTATATTAATAATGTTTTTACAGTAGTTATTACTCTTGCTATAACAAGATGTTTTTATTTTTGTTACAATTTCTTGTACTCTCACTGTAATTATAATTTTGGAATTAGCTAAGATGTATTTATTCTGTTTTATGACTTATATTTTTTCATTCATATTTGTCTTCTATATCAAAACAGAATTCTATATTGAATTTATTTCAGATCTTTTTTATTATTATAATTGTTGCATAATAATTAAATGATGATTTTAATATTTTTAGTTTCATGTTCTGCTGACATGACAGTTAAATTATGGGATTTTCAAGCTTATGAATGTATCAGAACTATGCGTGGTAAGTTATATAAACTAAAAATTTTCCAATAATAAAAATAATAATATACTTTTGTTTCAGATAATAAAAATTATCCTTAATTAACACCTTCATATCAGTTTAAATTGTATTATTAAACTTTAGTAATATACAAATTTTTTGCAAGAATTTTACAAAAGCATTTTTTATTTTAAATATATTCAATTATGTATTTATTATTATGTATGGAAAATAAATTTTATTATTCATGTTTTTGATTATAAACATTACAAATTTTGAACAATATACTTACTTGTGAACTCTGAAAGAATGTATTTATATATATTTGAAATGCACAAGGGTATAAGAATAATTTCTTTTCTGTGGAAAACTTATCCAAATTAAATACTAAATTCAAAAATCAATGTTTGTTAACATGTTAATGGAAATTAAATGTATTATCATGCTCATATATCATGTTAACTGTTTCCTCATCTTTGTAATGTTTGTATTCCTTTTTCTTTTATGGGTCATTTATATGATCATTTCATGTGTTGTTTTTATTCTTTCATCTCAAATATTTTTAATCTTTTCTTTTCTAAAATCTTTAAACTTTTACCTGAAACTCTGTCATATTATCATTTTGTGAATCCTAGATGTTTAATTTGACATTCTGCATTTTTTCCCTCCAATTATGTTTTAAAATGTTTAACTTATCTAATTTTATACAGGAAATCCTCATTAATTCAAACTTGGATAGTTCGAAATCCCATTAGTTTGTAACAGTACTTTGTCCCAGCTGGAAATATAGAGATTTACGTGTTAAGGAATTTGGTTAGTTTGAAATACTGTATAGCTATTTTGAAATTTGAAGTGAAAATTCTGTCTGAACTCTGATATGCATATGTTAATTGGTTCATTTAGATTGAGGTGCCATTATGCTATAAGAGAACAATAGACCAAGAACAAATCTAAATTGTCAATATGGCTTTGCTTTTACAATAACACATTATCGGGTGTCATTTTATACATAGATTATCCCTTTTTTCTCTTATCTCATAAAATACGGCTGGTTTTTAGGATTGTAATTCAAGTAGCAGATCGAGTTATTTGTAGGCTCTAGGCTACTACATTAGGGCAACATTCTACTTTTTGGACCACCTTAACCTATCCCATGTTAAAATTTTTCTCCATTGCATGTCACACCATGATGAATTTTTGCCAGTGTTAAGCCTAATGAAAATTACACGTTTTTGAAAAAATAATCATGGCTTGTTAGGTGTATTAAATACTTGGCTTGGATGTCACACCAACAGTTAACTCAATCAAAACTTCAGACTATGAGGCGTTAAATAAAATTAAATGAAATATTTTAATCGTGCAAGCACTTTCAACGTAAATATGTACGTGGATTCTGTAGGGGAAGGATTCCCCTGCAGAATCCAATAACAATCACCAATTATATAGGAGCAACTACAGTCGACCCCCCCTATAATGTGCGTTCCTATAACGACAATTCCTATAATGTAGCGAAAAAATTGTAGCAACATTCGTATAAAGTACCTCCTATAACGTCATTTCGCGACAAGATTGATAGAATCTGGACCAATAGTGGATGAGCAGCCAAACTACTTTCCTCCGACCCTGCGCCACGCTACGGAGCGGCTAAATTGAGTTTGCTATCGTCTGACAGTATTATATATAAATTAGGTACTGTACATATAATTATATATTAATTATATATAAATTAGGTACTGTATATATAATTATATATTAACTTAATTTATTGTAACTTTATTATAATTATATATATGCTTTCTGCCGCCTGGCAACACGCTACGGAGATTTTAGGCTAGTAAGTTGAGTTTATTATCGTCTGTACAGTATGTAAATTAGGTACCGTAAGTCTAATACAGCACTAATTTTATACATTTCTTGTGAAAGAAACACTTCTTATTCAACGGCCATAAAAATTATTTATATTAATGATGTCTCCAAAGGTCAAATTATTTTTCTGCGAAAAATTCGTTATTAGAAATCGCGGCCGCCGTTTCATGTGCTGTTCCGCAACGAAAACCAGCTTTAAGCAACGGCGTAGTCGAACGGTACACACTCGGTAAGTAATCCTATAATTTTTTGTTTATAGCATAGTTTATACGGATTACTCCCAAAAAATTATACGTGTTTTGGAAATGTTGAGTGGAATTAGTGTAGAATCGGTTAATTTATAGAAGAAAACCTTTCAAACAGCTTTATTCCGTAAAGTTCCCACCTATCGGGTGCGATTGGCTCATGTATTCAATCATTCCTACAATGTAAAATTCAATTAGCGTGGAACGTATCTAAGCGTTATAGGGGGGGTCTACTGTACCAGAATGCTGGCTGCTCGCATATCTGAACACCAACGTTTGGTGGCACTTGGCAATTGCAACACTGAACTCTCCAAATTGGTGATACAACAACATCACATAGCGCTTTGGAATCGGGTGGCAATATTCAAACACTGTGATGAAGGGAGCTTGATATATATTTGGTAGGCTCTCCTCACAAAACTGCTTTCCCCGTGCAACTCCCCTACCCTCGACTTACCAAACGTCTGGATTAATTTATACAGGCATTTAAAAAATCAACAATAGTTCTACACTCATTTCCCACACCTCCTATGTGATTCAAGGCACATACGTGTCAGCCTCTTTATGTGCATCTTTTTATATGTTACATGTGTTTTATGTATTTTAAATTATGTCCCACGCTTTTATATTTAAATTTTAATGTAAACTTGCACTTATGGCTCTATTCCGATCGGCTTCTATGCTGTCTTTGTTAAGGTGCATGCGTGCCAAAAATTTTATACTTGTTTACAAAATGTTTTTAATTTAAAGTCTAAAATTTACTTGTTCTTAATAGCCATTCTAATTGGCTCTTATGTTATGCATGTTAAGGTGCACGTGCACCAATTTTTCACATTTGCAAGAAAGACTTCGTAACTTCAATGATCTTAATTAATAGCCATTCCAATTGAGTTTATTTGTTTTAAAACGCATGCACGCCAATTTTAAATGTCTTTAATTCTAAAATTTAAATCTTATTATTTTTAATAGTTATATTCCAAAAATGACTAATATCGTTAATGCTTAAATTTAAATGTTCTGTTCGAATTCTCTATTCGATTTTGAATTGCCTGAAGACGACATACATATTTACGTTGAAAGCTCTTGCAAGATTAAAATATTTCGTTTAATTCTATTTAACGCCTTATAGTCTGAAGTTTTGATTGAGATAATCATGGCTATTGTATCATCTGAAATTATTTTTTTATTTTGCACAAACAAAATAGATATACAGTAGAGCCTCAAACTCGGCACTCGATAACCCGGCACTCCGGATAACTCGGCCACGCCCTGGCAGGGCAAAAATACCCTTAGATAATTAATTTTCATCATAGACAGCTTTATGCCTCATAAAGTATTTTTCTGGGGTCTGTTTTATCAGGTAAATTACTGTACACAGTGTATTCATTAATTTTCATTTTCATGTAGTAAAGGCTCTATGCCAGGGGTGGCCAACCTTTTGCATACCATGCGCCAATTTTTTGATAGACGAGTTCAGATGCACAGTGGCGTACCGTGGGTGTTAGCCGCCCGGGGCGGAGAAAAATTTCGGCCACCCTTTAATCAGGTATTTCAGTTTAAAAGATCAAAATTTAGTTGTGTGAAAAAAAAATTAATAAAAAATGCGGTGGTGGTGTAGTTACCCGTACAAAATAGTCCCATTTGACATTAGTGGCATACACGATTGCGAATGTATCGTGAATCGTAGAAGCATAAAAAAAAAAAGGTCAACAGGTGTAGCAGTCCAACCGACTCGTGGACTGTCCGGACGGTAGCACTGTCATTTAGACGCCTATGCACTGATCGAAAATAAACATACATGCATACACTGTAATTTACTATGTGGAGAACACTCATTTTATCTGTAAAGTTGATTGCAACGAATTGTGCAACAAATGAACTTGCCAAGACAGACTATAAAAAATTAATTTTCTATGTAATATTCTTAATTGCAAAGAAGCCAAATCTGGCAATGTTGCTCAGAACTGACTAAAGCGCCACTTGTAATCGTCCAATGCGCCAAGTTTGGCGCATGCGCCATGGTTTGGCCACCCCTGCTCTATGCCTTCATAAAGGACGTACTTTTCCTTTGTTTAAGGATATTTGGGCAGTTTATTCTCTGTTGTATTCTCAGCAAACAATACATACAAGTCATAATTCGAAGTTTAGACTATTTACAAAAAGTCAAATTAACTTTTGAGTCCATCTTTATCCTTTATACACTACCACAGAAGTGACAGTCTTAAAAAATTTGCTTTGAAGAACTCTTCTTAAACACAGGTAAAAATTGGTAAAAAAAATCTCACAAGGTTAAAAAAGATCAAGTAATGTAGATACTCGTAACTACCACTAGAGGGCCAGAAGCAGTTTAAAAAGGTGGATAAAAATGAAAAGGGTGAAGAATTTCTTTGTGTTTTTAATTGTAAAAGTGTCAGAAACCTACAAGAAAAGGCTGACACTTGATCTTTTTTAAATTGTGAGATTTTTTTACCAATTTTTACCTGTGTTTAAGAAGAGTTCTTCAAAGCAAATTTTTTAAGACTGTCACTTCTGTGGTAGTGTATAAAGGATAAAGATGGACTCAAAAGTTAATTTGACTTTTTGTAAATAGTCTAAACTTCGAATTATGAAGAAATACATCCTGAGTTATCACAAAAATTGTAACCAATACATACAAGTACAGTACAATATTTTCTGAGGAAACACGCATACTTATCCTTTTTTAACCCCCATTCCCGATAACCCGGCATTTTCACAAACTCGGCCACCGCCACCCTTCAGTCCACATTAGGCCGAGTTTCGAGGCTCTACTGTATAAATAAATGTAAAAACAAAAACTTATATTTCAGAAGTTAGTTATAATATAAAAATTATAATGACTAGCGACATCTAATTTCAAAAATGTTCCGATGCAGAAACGAGATATTTTGG